GGAGGTCAATGGGGTAGTTATCGGCACTTGCAATTAGATCAACATATCTATGTGGAACTAGAGCACGCCTATGTGGATACATTGACGACAGGAAATTTAAATAGTTTGGAATGGATTCAAAGTCCGTTAACGTATTGTCAGACCAAATATCCAAATACTCTCTGTAGTGTGTACTATGCATCATTAAATTTCAGGCAAGTTTCAAGCATCATTTTTTGCTCTTTCCGAAATTCTCTCTAAAATTGTAATAAAAATATGTTACCACAATGATAAATATTTATTGATTAATACTAATAGGGATATTTTGTTGGCGACTGGTAAACTATCAATGGACGCTCTTTCATCGTTAGGGCTTGTCACAGAAGACTATGTGTTAGGATTAGAATTCTCCGGTAGAGACGCAAACGGTTGTAGAGTAATGGGTTTAACTAAATCTAGAGGTTTGACGACCACCGTGTTGCCGGATTCCGATTTTCTTTGGAAAGTACCTGAGGAATGGACATTGGAGCAGGCGGCGACAATACCATTCGCTTATGTCATCAGTTATTATGCTTTGTTTGTACGAGGTCGATTGAAAGCGGGCAAAAATGTACTGATTCATTCTGGTGCGGGTGCCGTTGGCCTAGCGGCAATCAATATTGCCCTGCACGCCGGCTGCACCGTCTTCGCCACTGTCGGCACAGAGGAAAAACGATTGTATCTCAAAAAGACTTTTTCGCAATTGACCGACAAGCACATTGGCAATTCCCGAGATACGAGTTTTGAACAGCTGATATTGGACGAAACCCAAGGCTGTGGGGTCGATGTTGTATTGAACTCGTTGTCAGAAAAGAAACTGCATGCCAGCGTACGGTGCCTCGCGAAGAATGGTCGCTTCCTCGATATTGGGAAGTACGACATGTTGAATGGCAATCGCATAGATATGTCGATATTTTTAAAGAACATCTCCTATCATGGTATACTTTTAGAAATGCTGTTCGAGGATAGCGAAGATAAGCTAGAAACTGTTAGGCTAATCTCGGAAGGAATCGAGAATGGTGTAGTGCGTCCATTACCAACGACCGTATTTTCGAAGCAAAGCCTCGAGGAAGGATTTAGATTTATGATGGCAGGCAAACATATCGGCAAGGTATTGCTGAAGATTCGAGACGAAGAGCCACAGAAACATATGCTATCGATGCAAACAACGGTAGCGGCCATACCACGTACTTATATGTATCCAGACAAGTCGTATGTATTGATCGGTGGTCTTGGTGGATTTGGTTTGGAATTGGCCAATTGGATGATCACCCGCGGCGCTAGATTCATCGTTCTCGTGTCACGTACTGGAATACGCACTGGTTATCAGATGTCACGCGTGCAACATTGGCGCAATAATGGCATCAAAGTTATCATCTCTACGGCAGACATTACAACATTTTCGGGCGCCGAATGTTTGATCGACGAGAGTAATCGATTGGCTCCTGTGGGCGGTATATTTAATCTGGCCGTCGTTTTACGTGACGCTTTGTTTGAGAACCTGCAAGTGGTCGACTTCGAGACTGTAATCTTACCAAAGGTCAACGGTACGAGGAATCTGGACGTGGTGTCGAGAAAGTCTTGTCCATCATTGGATCTTTTTGTTGTGTTCTCGACTATAGCGTCTAGCCGAGGCAATGCGAGTCAATCCAATTATGGTCTCGCAAATTCAGCTATAGAGAAAATCATAGAACAGAGGCATACTGCTGGTTTGCCCGGTCTCGCTATTCAATGGGGTGTTATAGGAGATGTTGGTTTATATATTGGTGAGACATTTTTCTATTTCTTTCTTTGAGATTCAATAATCTTAGATCTTTTTCGGATTTCATTGCCCTTTTTCTTTTATTAAATTTTACCTAAAAACTGCTTTCATTTTACTGTAAAAAAATATTCACGTAGTCAACATAATGATTTGTATGACTCTTTGAGAAGATTTATTAAATTATTTATTTTTATTACTAGAAACATTAACAATTTTTATTGGAAGAAATACATACAGTAAAATTATAGAGGAACTATTAGTAGAAGATAATTGCAGACTTATAACGTTATTAAAATTGCAGATTTCTAATATTATTACAACAAAAGCCCAAATTTAATATTTAAAGCGAATAATAATCATTTTTTATATTTAATATCATTATATGATACTCTGATTTTTATAGATTCGATGAAGGATAAAAACATCGGTATAACGCGTATTGGTGTTTTACCGCAGCGTGTGTCCAGCTGTCTTGAGACCATAGACGTTTTTCTTCAACAACCATACCCAGTAGTATCATCTACAGTGATAGCCGAGAAACGCAAATCTGTAAATAACGACGACAGTATTGATCATGTCGTCCATGTCATTGCCAATATCCTTGGTATTGAAAATATCTCGGTAAATATCAATGACAGCTTCGATAAATTTGGCATCGATTCGCTAAGCTATATGGAGATAAGACAGATTCTTGAAAGAGAATATGGTATCTTATTATCGCTCCGAGAGATGTATGTTTTAACGTTAAGTAAATTATTAGACTTGTTAGCGAAAAACGATGTATCTCACAATCCTTCGACAAGTTAAAGAAAAACAAAATTGATCACAAATCTGCGGAGAGAGATATATCCTTTAATTAAAAAAATTTTTTAGTTTAATATTTGATTTATAATAATGATTTATAATAACGATTTATAATAATGATTATACTTTAGTGTAATTTATGATGAATTGTAAAGTACTTCTAAATTAATTATATGATTTTGTTTAAAAAAATTATTTTTTGCTTATATACATGTGTTTAATATACATTATGAATACTTAAGTAAGTCATAAGTAACGAATTTGTAATATTCAAAACAAGAGATGTCATAGAAAAGTAAATAAAGTTGATATGAATATTATAAATTAATGCAAATATGTACGTATAAGGATCCCAGGTAGTACATATTCGTTTCAAAAACGTTTCACAAATGTTTCTCCGAAACGTTTTATAACCGATTCTTGAAAACGTTTATGATTGGTTAAAATGTCCACTTGAAGAACGTTAAGAGATACGTTTTTTTCTAATAAAAAAAAACGTTTAAAAAATGTTTAAAATACGTTTAAAATACATTTTTTTTTCTTTTATTCGTAAAACATTTGGTTTTTATGGAATTAATAAAGAATGCATTCATACACATTCTCTAAAAATGAATCAGTATACTGGAAACAGTAAACAGAGTTACTGATATACAATTGATATGCAGTTATAAGTTATTATAGCACTGTGAATCGATAATATTTCACTAAAAGACTTAACATTGACTTTTAATTAGTAATATTAATTTATCTACTTCATATAAAATTAAAAATTTTATTTATATTTACATGCATATTAGAACATGAATGTTAAATAGATGATAATTTATTTTACACATCTTTAATATATAATAAACAGATGATTTTTGTTTATTCGCCGGATATGTCCGACTTATAAAATCGATTTAATATCTATAATAGAAATTCTCTATTGAGATTCTATCAGAAATTAAATCGAAGTGATACTTTTAATTTTATCTGTTGTCTTTTGCAAGCTTTATATAATCCTCATAACCAAAACTTAAGTACGAGAAAAATAGCGCACCGTAGCGGTAAACAAACGAACTAGCGATTACTGATTTTGTGGTAAAATTTTACTTCCACTGACTATAATTAATAAGATATAAGATAAAGTAACAAAAAAGAAGCGTTTCTACTAGAGATCAATGAAATACTGATTCTTAGTGATCTTATTCATATATTTGTAAATAGAAATTAATATAGTTTTTATAATAATTATATATATATATATATATATATATATATATTGTATGTATGTATGTATATGTATATGTATGTACATATGTATATATAAGTTAAAATTAATTTGAAATTAATAAAAATTAGTTTTTATTTTGTCTATAGAAACGTAAAAAATACATTTCCTTAACTATGGTTTTAAAATCGTTTCTATAGAAACGTTTCTTATTAATGCTTTACGGTTAAAAAATATTAGATACATTTAAGAAACGTATATAAAACGACCGTGTGCTACATGGGCGTATAATGACAAAATAAATTGAAAAAGAATATTAGAGCCAAAGTATACATATACAGTATATATATATATATATATATATATATATATATATATATATATATATACAGGGTGCTTCCGCAACATACAGATCGGTAAGTCGGGTTGCCTATCTGACGATCGGTCTTCTTTTACCGACCTCGCATAATTGAAAAATAATAAAATCAGAGGATCGATCATGTAATTTTTTTCGTAAAAAGTGAACAAATTCCTTGATTGATACCTTGAATGCAAATCCGTAGGAAATGAGGAAAGTAAAATCAGCTTCTAACATTGATTATGTTATTAAATATTACAATTACACTATATCCGGATCGACGCGTCTTAATTAGCTGTCTAACATGTTGATTAATTACTTTGAAAATAGTTATTAGTGGATAGCTATTTTTCAGCAATGTTTCAACAATTAGTTCGATATTTTTCTTTTCTGGAAAACTGGATCAGACAGCAAAAAGACCTTGTCAATCAAGTTAATAATTGTCCCCTTTTTTTATTCATTGGATGCTGTGAATGAAAATTGAGATATCTTCCTGAGAATGTTTTACATATAAGTAGCTCGTAAAACTATCTGGTAAAATTTACCCTATAGGTACTAATCTGTCAAGTAAGATGAAATTTATCGAAAGATGGAACAACCCAGCCTAAGAGTTACTTTGATTTTATTTTATACTTAAATTTTATTATATAGATTCCAGTTACTTTGATTTTATTTTATGTTTGTGCCGAACCTAGTCAATTTATATTATAAATTGTGCAATGACATAAGACTAACAGATTTCATTTAATAAAATATATTTGCAAATGTTTTGATCACATATTTTTCTTACATTAATTATTACATTTATAAATCATTATTAAGTACCTTATCCCATTGCCATGACAACGCGCCAATTCCATTGAAAAAGTTTGCAAAATCTTCTCTAATTTTTTTAGCTGCAATAAGATTTGAAGAGCGATTTCTTGGTAGATTTCTCAAACCTTCAAATACTACTGCACGGTCTTGCGCAGTAAAATTCGAATACTGTAGTTGTGGTACATCTAAATCCCTTTCAGTAGATATTATAAAGTTATGCACAGCAGTTGTTGCCTGAATAATTTTTCGAGCTGTATATACAGAAGCAAATATTGGTTTTCCGTATATCCTCCATCGTGCAGCGAGTATTCCAAATGCTCTATTCTATCGATCGTCTAGCGCGGCTTAATCTATAATTGAACACTTTTTTCTTGTGTCAAGATTATTTCGTGGATATGGCTTCATCATAAATGTAGTTAACGGGAATGCTTCATCTGCGACTAATACATATGGCAATTCTATGTTACTATTCATAACATATTTTGCAAACGTAATTGAAGCGATTCATCGTAGAATCCCTTACTCAACTCACTATTTTGAAAAATTGTACTATCACATTGTCTTCCTGCGCTACCAATATCCACAACAGTAAAATAGTTGTGAGCTTATTCCAAGAAGAACGAGGCTGTGTTGTCCTTTATAATTATAATATGTAGAACCACTATTTGGTGGCATCTGCAAAATACAAGTATATCTTATAATGAAAAAATTAGTGCAATTTACACATTAAATATATTAAAATAAAATAGTTTTTACCTGTATAACAACATGTTTTCCATCAATAACCCCAATAGTTGTTGAACTGACAAATATTTCAAAGTTTTCTGCGATGTTTTGCCAGTTAACTGTACTCGGTTGTAGAAATACTTCGTCTTTAAAAGAATTCCAAATAACGTCGCAAGTTTCGGAGACAATTTTGGAAACAGTATTATGCGCATTACGAAAAGCAAACGATATTGAGGTCATGCTAGAAGCTATATATCGCAAAGTCACTTGCAAATGAGTGCGCGCAGGTATTGGTGTGCGGATAATGGTTTTTTTTGTAATATAAGGTTTTTGTAATATAAATAATATTCAATAATACTTAGCAATTTTTCAAATGTTTCTAATAGCATCCGAAAATAATTAAAATATTTTTCTTTATCAATTACTTTCATTTCACGAACCAGATTGTCGCTTGCTCCCTGCATTCTTCAATCTTCTTTCTTCTGAGAAAATTGGTCGTATCCAATATCGACGTTTGTTTTTCTCTTTCTCTCTCTATTACGTCTTTTAATTATTATATATAATAAATATAATTTAAACATTCGTTTTCGAATAATTTGCTTTTGAATTACACAATAAGATCTATTTCGAAATAATCCCAGTAGAAATTTAAATCCGGCGCAGAAAGAGTCTGGATCAGGCGTGCCCTACACACTGGCACGGCACTGTTCCGGCTGCCAAAGCAAGGCCTGACTAATTGTGAAATGTTTTTTTACTTACGGCCTTGTGATTTAGCATTCCGAATTGTGATCAGGCTATTGGGTCGTAGCTTGATCAGTCCACTAGTTCAGGGATTGATCCGGCTGCCTTACCTGTTCCGGACATCGAAAATATTTAAAAAAAAAAATAATATATTATTTAAAAAAATGTTTGATACCATCTATCAATCATAGTTGGACTCTATTTGTATTTCGGCTCCTATCGTAACCGGTTAAAAACGCTTTCCTGCCTGAATTTTTCTGAATTTTGACCATTCTGAATTTTGACCTATTCTGGGGGGATTCGAACGTGCGCTATTTGATCGCCTATGCCGAAAGCTAAGTACGCTACCTATTTAGCTATCCTAACACTTCGAATATTTTAAGTTAAATTATGTTATGTTATGTAGGCGTTTATTTTAAGTTAAATTATGTTATGTTATGTTATGTAGGCGTTTATTTTACACAACACAAATATTTAATAAATAAATTTATCATATTATATCAAATATCATCTTAAAACAAAACAAAAAATTTTTTTTCATTTATCATATATTCCATAAAAAATTATATTGTATTTATCATATTATATCACATAATTATATATTTATCATATTATATTAAATATCTCAAAACAAAAAAGAAATCTTTTTTACTCAATTGTTAATTTTTATTAACTCTTGTTTGTCGAGCGCCTTCCCAATCTTTCGCTGCATTAAAATCTTACCCAAAGATTTCTCAATATCCTTGCATAATATAGGCAGTCCGTGCGATTTATACTTCTCTATGACGATTACTAGATGCAAATAGCAAAAAAATTGAAGGATTGATAAATTAATCACTGATGCAAGTACATACTAACGATATCGTAAAAATATATAATACCTTGCATTTCAGCAAAAAATTTCGTCTTCGCGAAGACTTTTTTTACATACGTGTAACTTTTTTTACAGCAGTGTAACTGACAATCACGTCACGGGACATGAAGATTTTTAATACTCGGCGTATTCTCGACTGATCGAAAAATCAACATAAATCTCGTTGATTTCACTTGTTATCTTTCTTCATTGCTTTGATCTTTTCTTTGCTCTTGAACGTATTTTATTGAGTGTTCTATGATATCTATTACAATCTAAATTAGACATTTGCTCTGATAAATTTATTCTAATGTATTATTATACATGTTGAATGTTAGAGGCAATTTATATCAGCGATACTATATATAATAAATAGTTGTCTTGCAATATAATTAGACTGGATAGAAAGAGAAGGAGAAAAAAGTTTTTTGTTTATAAATTCTTATTTCTTATTCATAAAAAGTTTCATTAATCATAATGAAACATATATTTTTTGCATCAAACATGATAGCTTTCTATTTTTGTGGTAATAAATGAAGATACATTGATCCCTGTCTTGGTTTTAAAACCAGAGACATATCTACGGTCATTTCCTCATGCGTTTCTATGCTTTTCACTCTCCACTTTCTGAGTATGGCTGCTAATATGATCTTTTCTTCGAATATAGCGAATTTTTGTCCCATGCAGTTTCTTGGTCCAGCACTAAACGGGATGTAAGCGTATGGATGTATCTGTTTCAAATTCTCAGGTAAGAAACGGTCTGGATCAAATTTTAATGGATTCGACCAGATTTCTGGATTTCGATGAACCAACAGAATTTGCACTGCGACCGAAGTATCTTTCGGAATTATATAATTGTCTGAAATAAGAGAATAGTGCAAAGTTTAATGGAAAATCTTATAATTCAATTATTTCACACAGCTTGTTTCATTCATTCCAAATTCACAAAATGCATCTTCCAATCGTTTTATTGTTAAATTTGTTGAAAAATTATTTAAGTTTGAACACAAATTATATTTTAATCTGTAGATAATGACAGATTCAAAGAGTGCATTATATAACTGAAGAAAGAAATTTCAAATATCTTTTGAAAAGAATTAACAATCAAAATTCATTTTTCTTTTCTATTTAAATTTAAGAACTATTTATTTTCTTTAATTGATAGTGGAATATTATTATTTATTTATTATTTATTAAATCAATTCGTACCTGTCGGCTTCGGATGGGAATTAATTTATAATATTTCTTATTCTAATTTACTCGCATTCATTCGCATTTCATACATCCACTCTTCTCCTACTTCTATCTCTCTATGTCTCTAAATCCTAAACGCTTCTAATTTCAATCAATTATAAATTATCCTAAAATATCCTATTCCACTTGCACATCTTCATTTTCCCTTTATTCTATTTTGTTCTTCTGTACTTCCTTCATGAGAATTTCCATTTTTCTGTTTTCCATTCTGTATTTTTTTTCTCTTCTATTCTTACTGTCTCATTCTCTATTTCTGTTCTCCTCATTTCGTCTTCACTCACCCTTCCTTCCTCATTTATTATATTTCTCGCTGTCGCTTTCTCTTGTTTACTTTTTCTACTTGTAAATTCTTATTTTCTCTTCTTTCTTTTCTGTTCAATCATTGCCTATATATAGTTTTTTCTCTTCTCTATTCCGTTTGCTATATTTTTCTTCTTGGTTTTCATTAGATTGTTTTCCTTTATTGTCTTCTTTTTCTTCTCTGCTAGTTTTACTTTTTCTTAACCTTATCATTCCAATCAAACTTCCTTCTTTTTTCCATGCTTTGTCTGTATAATTCTCTATTTCAATCTTTCGGTTTTCTTTATTGTGTCTCTGCCGCTGCTTTAATTCCTTTCTTCTTCCTTTTTTCGCATTCTATTTGATTCTTCATTCCCCTCGTATTTTTTTTCCACCTCCTCATTGCAATCCAGATTCTTTTCCTCTCATGCTTCCTCTAACGTTTCCTATTTTTTGCTATTCTCTTAGATCTACAAATCTAGTCTAAAAATCTAAATTTAAATCTAAAATCCGAATTCTCTAACTTTTAAAATCTAATCCAAATCTGTATACTAAAGTTTAATCAACACATAATTAAAATCAAAACTGAAACCAAAATCATAATAAAATCAAAACATGTACAAATTCGAACTAAATTAGACTTAACAACGTATACCGAATCTAAATTTTAATTTTGAGTGGATTATATAAATGTAGAACCTTAAAGCCGTAAAAATCAATTCTCTAACTATTTTTATTCCACTCCTTATAACTGTCTCCTTCCTAATATCTCTTGTTGTACATTTTTATTTCTTCTCCATTTCTTATTATTTCCTAATTTGTTTTTTATGTTTTTCTTTCATACTACGTTAGATCATTTTCCCTGTTACTTAAATTTCTATCTCTCCTATTCTATGCTTTATTTCTTTCCACCCATTTTCTTCTATCCCTCTTATTTTTAACTATACTCTCTGTATCTTTCTTTTATACCTCTTATAGTTAAATTATTCTTTCTTTCTTTCTTTTAGATCTCTTCCTTGTTCTTGTGATATTCATAATTCCTTCCCCCTGACCATCGATTCTCCTCTACATTCTCTTCTATATTTTGCGCTTCGTATTTTTTCTTCTTTACTTTTCCCTGCAGCTATTCATAAGGATATATACGTTTAACTCCTTTATCAATCTATCTATTTTCTTTTCAAATCTAAGCTTTATTTTATCTACATCCAATAGCACATTTTACCTCCGTTACCTTCTACTTTCTATCGATCCTTTCTTTACCGATATCTCTTTGGTCCCTCAGCCTCATTTGTCTAAATCTATTATCTATATTTAATCCCCTTTTATTTTAATTTCTTTCCTATATTTCCTCTCTCTTTTTATACTTTCTTTTCTTCTACGCTTATTCTTCTTACTCTTACACGCCTACACCTATTGTATTGTTTTATTCTATCTAGATCAAGTCCACTTACCTCTTAATCCTTTGTTCAAATTTTAATCTCTTCTATTTCTTACTTATATTATCCCTCTTCTTCCCTCTTTTTTCTATAAGTTCTTATCTTCCGCTTTCTTATTCCAGCACATTCCTACTTCTATATCTAACGTAGTTTCCCTAATTCTATCTAAAATATCACACATACTCGCGGATCCTCCATTTCTCGTCACATCATCTAACCCAATTGATAGTATAGTATATATAGTATATATAGTAATAATATACTTTTCAAAAACTGCTATATGCAATCATCATTAATTTCTTGCATTGTATCGATTTATTTTATTGAAGTGAGAACATTGAAAGTGCAAATAGTTTATAATTCGTAAAGTTGATATTTTTGTGTAAAATATTTGATTATATTTCTTTTATCAATTATTTTAACGTAAACGGAGCATATTTTAAGAATATTTTAAAGTAAAACAAATTACTAATATATATTATATCACATATTCTATAAGTTTTACCTTTAACAAATTAATAAATAGATAAAGAAATTTACCTTCAGATTTTTTACCTTTAAGTTTTAAAATCTTTCAAAAATAAATGTTACCTCACACTTGTATTTCGTATTGGATTCTTTGTTTCAAAGATTTGTATCATTATAAAAATTTAAAAAATCTTACCCATTTTTATATCTTCTGATATTTTTCTCATAACTAAGGGTACACTTGGATATAATCTGCGCGATTCTTTTATAACTCTCCCGAGATATTTTAATTGCGAGAGCTCTTCAATACTAGCTGGTCTTTGAGAATCTTTGAAAACCTCTTTCAGTTCCTCATGAATCTTTTCTTGACATTTGAGATCATTGCCTATACAAAAAAGTGCCCAACTGATGGAAATCGCTGTTGTATCATGACCCTGTTATTACATATTATTATTTAAAATCAAGAATTGTATTATAATCAACAGATAAAGAAAAATAATATCTCAAACAAAAGAACTTTTTATCACAATTTTTATCACAATTTTTTACTCACTGCAAATAGAAGCGAAGTTACGTTTGCTCTCAAATCTTCATCAGGAAACGAAACATTGTCTTTCTCATTTGCCTCCAGAAAACGATCTAGTAAAGTTTTACTTTCCGGTTTGTCTAATTTAATTAAAAATATATTTAATTAGAAGAAAATCACGTATGAATATAATTTAGTTTAAATTTATAGAAAGCAAATAATTTGGTTTTCAAAAAATATGAGAATTTATAATTTTATATCTAAAAAGTTTTGAAAACTAAAATAATAAATTATGCGTTTAAAAAAATAAATATAAAAAAATTTGAAAAATTAAACAAATTTTAAATGTGCAAATATATAATAAAAATTTATTTTTTAATTTATTTTGTCTTTTTAAATTTATTACTGTATTTTAATATAAAATTTTATAATTTAAAGCTCACATTCATTATAATTAAATATATTATAGAAGTAATTTATGAAAGTGATTTAAGAAAGGTGTTTGTTAAATTATTCTGAGGAAATTTGCTGCATTAATTCATCAAAAAATTTATAAGAAAAGAATAATAATAGTCTAATGTATTTGATACATTTTTATTATAAATTACAATACTTTATCTTTGTACCTGGTAAATCTAAATTATTCTGCTGATTTTGTATTTTAATGTTCTGCATACGTGCGACTTTCCCGATTGTATTATCTAAAAAATTGTAGTATTCTTATTATTTATAAAAATCTAATTTGTTTTAAGCAAAATGGAGAAATGATATAAATATGAATTTAATATAACTACATTATCGTAAATTATTTTTAGTTTTATATAATATTATGATAAATCACTAATCAATATTACAATATATAATGAATATACATAAGTATTATTTCTTTCTATTTGTTATGACTATGATGATTGTTATGCAAATTATTTATACAATAATTTTTTCCTATGGTAGTAAATAAATAGATGATAATAAACATTATATACAAAATATACAAAAGAGAAATAGATGATAATAAATATTATATACAAAATATACAAAATAGAAAGAGAGAAAGAGAGATAAATATTAGATTAATTAACAACTAATAAGTATTGGATTATTTAATGTAACAATATATCTAACTTTATCAGTTATATATAATGTGATAGAATATATGTAAATACAAATACAATGAAAATTTATATTTAATATGCAAAACATGGGACATTTAAAAACACTATAAACTAAAAATTTAAAAACATTTAAAACACTAGATCTCAGTGAAGATGATATTTATAATGATTTCTTTATGTCGACCATGCAAAACACGGGACATTTAAAAACACTATAAATTAAAAATTTAAAAACATTTAAAACACTAGATCTCAGTGAAGATGATATTTATAATGATTTCTTTATGTCGACCTAGCTGAATACTTTCAGATTGACAAACGGTAAATCAACCAATTATGCAAAAGCTGCTTCAGACTAACGGTATAAACTTCAACC